ATGTTGGCATTCCCATTGGGGAAGGGACCCATGATGATGGTAATGTTTGAGGAAAGCTGTTTTCTTTGATAGTGTGTGTTAGGAAGAAGAATGTATCTGAGGTCTTTTATTGTTCAAGTGTGTTATAACTATGAAACATGACAAACTGCCTTGGCTATTTGGATTATGTCTGCAGCACATATTTAAAAGTGTGGTAATGTTTCATTGGTTCCCAACTGTGAAAGCAATGGTGTTTTGCTAGAAATTAGATACATCTGCTTCAAGAAAGTACAGGAAACAGTGATGTTACTCTTCCCTCTCCTTATATTAGAATAATTGCATTTGAATAATTGCATTAGTTCAGTTTGAATTCATGACTGAAGCTTGATGCACTTAGAGTATCTGCAATATTGGAGTAGCTGCAATATTAGTGTGACTGGCTTTAGTGGATTGAAAGGATCCTTCCTATTCTGTGTGCCAAAAATCAGAAGCTGTATAATCATTTTGTTTTCATGTGGGTCTTCCTTTCAGAGGTTCTGAAAACAATTGATGAGGGAGATGCTGATGATGTAACAAAGCAGCGAATCCATGAAGGAAAAGAAAAACCTGGAGCATTGTGGCACATCTATGCAGCCAAGGACGCTGAAAAGATACGGGAACTTCTCCGGAAGGTATGTTTGTGACAAAGGAGGTTTGGACCTAGCAGATTCCTTTAGCAAGCTTACTTGTAGCAACCAGTGATACAAATTGCTGTGGTCATCACGTGCATAGGTATTCTCATGCTCTCTTTGAGGACAGTAGAGGTTAATTTTTTCCCAAGCTTTTGAGCCTGGTCTACTTCATGCTAATGCAGATGTTATTAATGAAGACCTGAATGATCTTAACAAAAGTAGTGCCACACTTTTAAGTAGCTTGAGGTTATGCTTGTTATGTGGTTTAGTACAGAGTGTTTTGTGGGCCAGCAATATCAAGGTGCAGTGTCATATTTCTCTGTATCATGGCGCTAGGTTGGAGAAGAGCAAGGCCAAGAAAATCCCCCAGATCATGACCCCATTCATGACCAAAGTTGGTACCTGGACCAGACCTTACGTAAGCGACTCTATGATGAGTATGGTGTACAAGGTTGGGCAATAGTGCAGTTCCTAGGAGATGCTGTGTTCATTCCTGCAGGTGCTCCCCATCAGGTAAGTGTGCCACTTACAGGCATATTGACAAATAGAATTAAACCTGGGACACTGGGATAGATTAAACCTGGGATAGAACTGTGACTCCCAAATAACTGTTAGTTCGTTGCTGACTTTGGTTCCATTTTCTATGTAGGCTGTTCTTACAGGAACTATTTGAATTGGTTCTTAATCCTTATGTTAGTGAACATGTTTTTAAAAAAAAAAAAAAAAACTGAATAATGTGTAATGTGATAGAATTAAGAAAAAGAATATTTAGAGTGAACAGTGAGAAAACTCTGCTAGTGAAACTTCAGCCTAGGGAACAGAGGTCCAGAAAAGTATGGAGAACATACTTTTGAGAACGCTATTATATTTGGAAAGATAGGGGACATCTGAAATGTCAGCTATTTTGTTTTGGTTTTTTTTGTTTGTTTGTTTGCTGGTTTTCGATAGCACACTCTTTTTGGTAGTGCCCAGTAATAGGACAAGAGGAAACGGGCACAACTCTGAAACACAGGAGGATCCATCTGAACATAAGGAAAACTTCTTTACTATGAGGGTGACTGAGCACTGGAACAGGTTGCCCAGAGAGGCTGTAGAGTCTCCATTCTTGGAAATAATTCAAAAGCATGTCTGCAATGTGCTCTAAGTGACCCTGCTTGAGCAGGGGGTTTGGACTAGATCTCCAGAGGTCCCTTCCAACCTCAACCATTCAGTGATTCTGTGATCAGGCACACAATTTTGTGTGAAATTAAATAGGCTTCAGTTCTTATTTCTGATAAGTAAGTGTGGAACAACGTAACATACACACGTGTTTTTTATATAACTATTAACACTGCATAGTTCACTCAGTCTTGGTGTATCTACCATTTGGTATGGGGTTTTTTTTAGGTCCATAATTTGTACAGCTGCATCAAAGTGGCAGAGGATTTTGTATCTCCAGAGCATGTGAAGCACTGCTTCCGTCTGACCCAGGAGTTCAGGCACCTGTCTAATACTCATACAAACCATGAGGATAAACTGCAGGTAACTATTTTGAGGGTAGTCTCTAAATATATCCTGAGTTTTGCCAGGTTTGTTCAGTGTAAGAAACAAATGGCTAATGATTTAAGAGATAAACGTCCAGAGTTATGTGAAGTATTTTTCATTTGGTAAATATTTTTTTTTTAAAAAATGCATCTACATCTGCAGTATTATATAAGCAAAAATTGATATTAACCTCCTGGCTTTCCAGAGAAATTTCCCACTGATGAACTCTTGCACGTATCAGCATTAATTAGTTTATAAATGGCCAAATTCTGAATGAGAGTGAAGTATAACAGAAAAAATAAATCCATATTAAAAAGAAAAAGAAATGCTTTGTTTTGAAGATAAGTGTATTTCACTGAGATCATTCATATTTGATTCTGCATTAATTGTCTAAAGGAGAATTGCTGTGGGAGTGAAGACTTGCTTATTTAAATTTTAATTAATCCCAAATAATAAAAACCTCAAGAAACGTGTTTTGGTTTGAAGAGATACAATTGTTTAAACAAATAATTATGTACAGAACATACTGTGCACTGAACAGTAGTAGTGCATTGTATACAAGACAGTAAGCTCTACAGAGAGAGGACTGTAAGAGATCTTGATTTCACCTACATATGCTTCTAAAGAGTTGGTATCTGTTTAGCTTGCAAACTTCCCTGTCAGCATTTTTTGTGTATTAGTAACTGCCCACATGTAAAATGGGGGGATGGACATCTGCAAGGATGGCTGTTCTTGCAAAAGTGAGTATTCAATATTTAGACATCCTCCAGGGTATCACCCAAGAATGTCAGAACTTGCCATGTTAATTCTTTCAAAGAATTTAGTGAAAACTTGCTATAAACAAACTTCTGTAAGGATTTGCACAAATTAGAGTCTTTAAACTCCATACAAAGACAACAGGATGATTTGTTGCATCCTTTCAGTTTAGATAGGGTTGTAACTGTATTATTTTTCTTGCTCCTTTTGGGCCTGATTCATATGAATGTAAGTGACTCATCACACCTTTTCAAAGTAAATTTATATGAATGACTTAATAGCATACTTTATCCTAGGGGCTCAAGGAAGAGAGGCTTTACCCTAAAATAGTATGAGTAAATGAGTTGCTGAGTGACCAGAAGATGAGTTAATGAGGCGGTGCAGTTTTCTAAAATATTTGTGTAGTCTGTGACAGTTTAAACTTGTGCTGTTGATATCCTGAAGCAGTAGTAGTGCTAACTTCTGCTGAATTTTTAGTGCAGCTCAGTGTTGTACATCTTCATGTATACTTCCCAACTATTATGGATTCAACTGTTAAAGCTGATTGCATGGGTATGCAAGATTCTCCTCATTAGTCTGGAGAAGCTGATTTTTCTCTCTCTCTCTCTCTCTCTCCTATTACAGGTGAAAAATATTATCTACCATGCAGTGAAAGATGCTGTTGGCACACTGAAAGCTCATGAATCCAAACTAGCTAGATCGTAGGAGTTGCTAATTCCAAATCCCCTGTGAAGTAAGCCTTTTGCTCACAGTATATACAGGGACTGCACATGACTGCCTCTGCAGGAGCAGAGGCTTCTCACTAAGAGCTGGTGTGGTCAGTATTACACACACTCTTCAGCCACTGTTTTCTACGCTGCCTCAACACTGAAGGTCTAATGGAAGGTCGCACTGTTACATGCAGAATTCCAGATTCTAATGAAAGGTGCCATGTTCCTTTCCTGTGGCCTTTTGGAAATTGGAATAACAGGGAAACCACATGGTGTTCCTGCATATTATGAATAGAAATGGTATAAAGAGTGTGGATGTTTTTTTTCCTCATGCCTAGTTAGTCTCCAGAGAGTTAGAAGGAATGTGCTGGAGGTGGGTTGTCCTGCTGCAGACTTAGTTGATAGCTGCTGAAGGAGTGTGACCAGCAGTAGCCAAATTGCAGAAATTTAAGTAATCTTCCCATGTGAAATACAGGCCAAGGAAAAGGATAAAGCGATTCTCTGCACTCCCCTTCTTGTAGCCATTTCTCTATACACTGTAGAGTTGCAGAAATAAAGGGAGAACCCACTTTTTTTCCCAGGAAACTCCAGAAATAGGAGAATTGTGTATTTAGTGAAAAACTAGGTTTGTAGTGAAACAGTTAATATTTCATGAAAGTAGATATTTTTAGTATTTTTGAAATACCACAACTGTTCCTGGGTTTTCAAGGAAAGGCGCATTACATTTAGTCTTCCTTTCAATAAAATCAAGAAGTGATTTTTAGAAAGCAGTCCAAAATAGCACAAAAACAGCCAAAGGAGAGTGAATAGTAATTGACACCCCACCTCCCTTGCCTATATTCCTCACCCCTCTTCTCTACCCTGTCCCTCCCTGTCCCCCTGCTTCCTCAAAATGAGAAGGAAGAAGGAATATGAACTCTGTTCTCATGTGGAGATGTTGTGCATCTCTCCCTGCACTGGTAACCGCAGGCAATAGTTCACCCAATGCCAGTGCTAGTTCAAAACATCTATCCTTTCCCAAAGTGAAGGAAAAGTTAACTTTCAGTATCAACTTTGTCCAGAACTATTTTAAGTAAAATGTTCCTGCTTGATAGAACTGTATTCAGAATTTACTAATGTCAGCATTGATGCAATGGATTTCGTTGTCTGGGTACATGGGGAAATGTATCTACCTTATATCCAGCTGTACTGTAGTGCCACCTGCAGGCCTGTTAATATGTTCACGGTTATTTCATTTTTTTTTAAATAAAAGTCATTTACTGTAACAGTCTGTGCAGTTTCTTTCAGACCTGGACTCTGACCTTCCTGCCTTGAGGCTGTCTCAGCTTCTGCCTCTAGGCAACCTGACAACTTGTTGCCCAGTGTCTCACCAGAAGGCTTGGGATTTTTTTAAGCCTGGAATCCCAAACATATGCTGGGGCCATACCAAGTCACCTACGCATTCTTGATTCTCAGAGATCCTCTGAGTAGAGGATCCATCCTGTCATGAACCACATCTCGTATGATGTGCTCCCCCTCTTTTCACTGTCTTTCTAACAGGTTGGGGTCAGTGCTGCCCTCTCTACTGGAGCTATGGATGAGGTGGCAAAGATTGCTTTAGGTGAGATGGGGGGTTGGACTAGAGGATCTCCAGAGGTCCCTTCCAACCTCAACCATTCTGTAATTCTGTAAAAAGGATTACCCCAGCCCATGAACCATTTAACTTCAGCATATTCATGTTCTGCAGAGTCTCTTGTGCGTTCTGGCTGGACTCTGTGCATACAAACCATCCTGAGTGGTTAATTATAGCTGAGATTTTCTTGGTTTTGTTGTGTATCAGCAATTACTAGAATTGGACAAAGAGCCTAACGACATAATTGGACATAAGGACAAAGACTTAGCTACATGTAATGCAGTAGCTTGAGTCATGCCAAAGGTAGTGATTTACACAAGAGTTCTGCATCTCATGCTGAAGCTTTCTGTTTGGATTGGGTCTACCAAACGCTGTTTCTGTCTCTTGTATTTTCTCTGTTAGTAATCATGCAGCGCAATCAACCTGAAGCGATATTCAGCCAAAACCAAAGGAATGATTAGCCCAAAAATTGTGGGTTAAAACTAAGAAATATGTAGCCATCCAGATTTTGGACCAGATGAGGGCATGAAAACTGGTAAAATCAGTTCCAGTAACTTTTATTTGAACCAGCATAGCTCTTATCTGGATTGAATACACCAGGAGATAGACTGTACCGTTTCATTTGGTAAGTCATTCCAAGTAAGTCATTAACACTTTCAGTGTTAGGCATAAATTTACATTTATCTAGATTGAGAATCCACTCACCAATTCTTGCTTGTTCTCCATCAAAATAAGATTTTCAGTTAATTAAATGGTGTAATTGTCACCTCAGTCTGTTCAACTAATCTAAAATGGGAGCTGCTAATATACAGCAATTTCAGAACTTCTGAAATAGAATTGTCATGTATTGTGTATCTGAAAACACCTAATATCCTTTCCTACATATGCGTGTGTGTATATCTCTGTAGATATATCTATTTCCTTAGACTGTGAAGCTTACTGAAACTGTATAATCTTGATGCCAGAATTAATTATACTTACAGCCTCTATTACGTTCTTTGACAGAGTGACGTGACTTAATTGTTTGTGTGAAAAGTATGTACCTTTGTTAGCTTAAATTTTGCTGCTCATTAATTTACCTGAGCTCCAGAATCTTTTTTTCTGAAAGTAGGTGTCCTTTGTGTTTACCCCTTCAACCATTTCCTTAGCTTCATAGTCCTCTCATGTGCCATTCCTCTTCCTCTAAGCATCTGTCCTCCAAGGTGGTGAACAGTCTTGGACTGTAGAGAATTGCTTTGCGTAGTACTTTTTCAGTACCTCTGATCATTCTTGCTGACCTTCTCATGCCTCTTATTAGTTCAGCCACCCCGTTCTTGAGGGAAGATGATTCAAATTACATGCAAGGTTTTAAAGGTAGTTGACCATGCATTTCTGGACTGACAATAGTGATGCTCACTATTCATTTCTGAAAAACTCCTATTGCTGCATTTCCTACTAATGGAGGCACTGAGATTTGCAGTAGTGATGACTATGCTATTTTTCCTGAGTAGTGATAGCTAATTTGGAGCTTATCATATAATTCATTGTGCAAGTGTAGTTAATGGTGATCTCAAGACATGTGTTAGGGCTCTCTTAACAGGACTTTTTGAAGAGGGTCAGTCTAAGCACTCACCCTCCCAATATGGACCATAAGTTGCATCATGTTTCATCTTCATATAGAGCTTACTGCAAAACTAGCTAACTGAAGTGATGATAGTATTGTTTTAAGATGTACAATCAATAGTTTTTGTCACCGTAGTCTCTGGTTACAGTCTTTTAAGGGGCAGCTGTTATGTAACCTGGAATGTAAGCTAATTAAAGATTTATATATTAGAAATGAGAAATTTCAGAGCAGAGACAAAACAACGTCAATGGTAGGCCTTAAAAATCATAGTGCTGTTACCTTATTTAGTTGATTGGAGTCATGACATTTCTTCTACTGAATGCTATTTTTCCATTAAATGGAGCTGCACAAGATACTGGGCAGGTACCATATTTTGAATATCTGTAAGAGTTTTAAGCTCCAGCTGTCTTTCAGCCAGTGTTCTGTGGAACTGTGGAGAAGTGGAAACCGGGATTCAGGCCATACAGCTGTTGGCCTGCCCAAGGGAACTTGGTTGCATTCACAGTACAGAGGCTTGGCATGAGCTCAACCACGCAAAGGCATATTTAGCACTCATTCACCAGTTTCACAGAGCCTTCAAGATGTTAGGCAGGACGCTCATCTCTCTCACTCCGTCTCAAATCAAGGGGAAGAGATGATGTCCCTAGTCTGAAACTTCCCCTTCTTTTCAACCAACTTCCCATATTTGATGCTAATTAGAAATGAAACAGTCTGCAAAGGCTAATCTTACAACAGTTAACCTTTTCTATCTTCATAAAACTGTACTCCGAGGGAACTGAACCAGACAGCATTAAATATGGAAAAAAATAAGTGCTTTCTCAGTACATCAAAGGCAGTTGTTCCTCCAAAAGATTTTGAGACTGCCTCTTGGGTAACCTGAAGATGTCAAACAGGAATTAAAGTAGAGAACTTGGATGTGGAACAGTAACTTGGATTTACCTGCAATATAGATAAGGTGAAAGAAGATATCAGGTATGAACAGTCTTTAAAATGTATTCCTCCTGTGCACATATGACTCTTCTCCTTCCTCACTTCTGGTAGCCCTTTGATACCTACAGTTAAGAGGCATCAACTGAGCTGCATGACATGCTAATCTACTTATTCATGCACCAAGCATGTCTTGTAAGTATTGCTTTGGTAGAAAACCGGAGTGAAACTACACAGCGTATGGGTGGAGCATAGCATGAAAGGACCTGTGGACAATGCATCTTGCAGGCTCTGGTTACTGGTAAGTAACCTTATTTTCTGGCTGTCAGCTTCAGAGTTTCCCCTAGCTAATCCTCCATCTGGGATGCACAGACAGACATGCTTGAGGCCAGTCCCTCCCAGTGCATCGCAGCCTGAAATCTCCCTGCAGCTTCCTCTTCTCCTAATTGGCCAGTGTCTCTAGATCCCTCTTCTAACCTTGGCATACCAGCTGCCCACTCCCACCAGGCATTTGAAAAGCAACCAGGTACTGCTCATCTTGACACTGCTCTCTTCTCTCTCTCTTCCCCTTGCCTTTCAGGAGCTTTTTATTTTATCTCTATACCTTCAGGTAGGCTAATATAAAAATGGTAAAGTGAGTTTCAAGACCTGGATATAACAAAGTACAGCTACTTCCCTGGGGAAGGTCACCTCTAATAAAACAGCTCTCAATCACAAATTGAAAAAAGTAAACTTCTTGTCCAGTTCTAGGGCCTTACCTTCCACCATGTCTGTTTGTACTGTAAGTTTACATTTTATTTTCTGTATTTTTCTTACCTCTTTCAGAGTTTGATACTCTTCCATTGCAGTCTGCACCTTTAAGCTTCAGAGAGAGAGTTCTTGTGTTCTTGCACTTCACTTTTCTTCTGAAGACCCTTACTTACCCTGCTAAGCTTTTCCAGTCACTTTCGTGTTCTTGAGCTGTGACTGAACTGCTGTTTCTCTCCATTACAGCAGCTTGACCTCAGCTTTAGCGGGATCTCCAACTCTGACGAGGCATTGTTCTAAATGTGGCTTTGCTCAAGCTGCTCTTAAGAAACAGTTAACTTCATTTCCACACCTCGCTGTTTCGGCCATAGTGGATCATTAGTCACCTACTTTACGCATCTGTAGAGCATATAAGTATGTCATGAGCTACTCCAGCAGTATGCTATGTGCTAGAAAAAGAAATGGCCTTAATTTGAAAACAATTAACAAATGAATTGCTATCCTGGATAGGCCCTAAGATCTTAATTGCACAACACTATACCATATTACTAATAACTTAAATTAATAGCAGTATTTTATTATTTTTGTTAATAATAAAGCATTCTAATTTAATCTGAGCTGCAGCTGGCTCTTGTTATGCCTTTTACCAGCCCTTCAGTACTAGGAGTTTCTCCTTGTGAGAACCGAGGTTAATGAATTAATTTCTCAGCCATCTTTATGATATGGAAAGAAATTGAGCTCCTTATTACTTAAGGATAAATTGCTAGCTTCAACTATCTTTTCTGTGCCCCTTTTAAAGCTCAGCATTGCCACTTAACAAAGAGCTCCTGCTTATGGCATTCGCAAAGACTATCTATCTGCTTTATTAACGTCAATATTCTGTTGTTCTTATCGCCATTTACTTATGCACCATAAATGCTCGTATTGCTCCTCAGCTCTTTAAACAGTGTAAAACACTGAAGTGGCACTTACCCCTGCTGCAGTTGTTCAGCACTCCCAGCCTCTTCATAAGTCACATGCTCCAGGTCTCTGAATTCGATCTAATTTGTCTGCATCTTTCAGTTGCAAAGTATGAACGTGTTATTCAGGTACCAAAGCTGTTGCCTCCTGGTCTCCCATATGAAGTTGGTGGATTTATAACTAGAATCACTATGGTGAGGGTTGCGTGTGCTTGTACAACTTGGATGTGTTGGGCAGATTCCTTTCTTCCTATTTGTAGGTCACGTATGCAGTCAATGGTATAAATGTGCAGTCCCTTATGCAATCGTTCTGTGGCTCTTCATACCCGAAAGCAGAGCATAATAAAACGTTCTTTGTTACTGTTTGTAGAGGGGGCCAGGTTTTCCACTTCTGGAAACCAGAACTAATGGGAAGTTGCTGATGTTTTGTGTTTTTCATCATAGCTCGTTAACACTAAAGCTTTTTTTTTTGCTCATTGTTTTCTCTCTGCCTTGCTTCTGTCCCTTTCCTTTTCAGGAGGGAGATTTGGCACGCAGCAACGTTTTACCGTAGTGCTGCCTCAGTTTTCTCTCTCTCTCTCTCCCTAAAGAATCACAGTAAGTTCTCCAGTACAGTAATAGTGTTTTCAAGTGCCTGCTTATGTAATGGCGATCCAGTGATCCGTGCACTGAGCTGGCTCCGTCCTCCTCTCTCGTCTACACGCCGCCGAGGGGGCGGCGGCGGGCGGGGGCGGGCTC